AGAACAAGCTTAGCAAAGCACAGGGACCACGGTTCAATCCCCCAGCACCACATGCCAGCCAGCCCCGCCCCCTGGTAGGCTGAGCTGGCCACACACACACACACACACACACACACAAATAAATAAATTTTGTTTTAAAAAAGGAGGAGGAAGAGGAGGAGGAGGAAGAGGAGGAGGAGGCAGCCTGGTAAAATAGCTTAGTGTGTGACCCTGGGTTTAATTCTAGGAGCAAAAAAAAAAAAGGATGTTCAATTTTACTAGCAATTACAACAATGTAAATTAATATGACAATAAGAGTTGTGGGTGAGGGTATAACTCAGTGGGAGGATATTCACTGGTAGAATATTTGCCTGAAATGCATGAGGCCTTGGATTCAATCCCCAGTGCAGTGGGAATAACTTAGGTTTTAGTCTATAGTTTATTTGTTTTTATTACTTTTATTGAGAAAGAAATAGCAATGAGATAGTTTCAAAACAGGTTAGTAGCACAGTTACAATAATTAATACATTGCATATTGTTGACTTTGTAGTTCTTCATAGTACAAGATGTAGACATGATATATCTTGTCTAAACACTATTAGTACAAATCTTTCTTCTCATTAAACTAAGAGAAAGTAGCTGTATATCTATTCTAACTATTTTGTAGTCTATAGTTTAAGCTGAAGGAAAAGCTGTACCAAGAGAGTTATCATTCAATAGCCCACATTACATCATTTTGAAGCTCGGCATGGTGGTGTATACCTACGATCCTAGCTAATAGGGAGACTGAGGCAGAAGGAAAATTTAAGGCCAGCCTTGTGCACAGCCATAACCTCAGCACTCTAGGAGGCTGAGACAGGAGGATCACAACCTAGAGCTCAGCCAAGGCAATTTAGTAGTTTAGCAAGACTGAGTCTCAAAATAAAAAAAAAGTAAAAAGGGCTAGGGATATAGTTCCATCTGAAGGCCCTCAGTTCAGTCCACAGTACAGACAGATAAGGGATGTAGCTTAGTGATGGAGCAACTGACTATCATGTACAAGGCCTGGATTTAATACCCAATATAAGAAAAAAAAAAAAAAGGTCACTCTTAATGTTCTTTAAAAAGCAGCTATCAGTAACGAAACCCAGGATCTCAACTTACCAGCTTATTAACTCGAAGCTTTGAGGAGTTAAATTTGAAGACATCAATTTTCTTATCCAGTGGTTTAATAGTAAACTGAAAGAAGAAAGCAGAAAATGGTTTCACTGTGACAACCTCCACTGTGACCACCAACTGGGACTTCCACAAAGGCAGCAATTACAGGGGGCACAAACTAGCATGACCCTGCCTTGTCCTGGCTTCCTGGTGCCCAGCCATGAAGTCTGTGAATTAGCAGTATTGGGGTACCTCGTGTGGGGCTGCAGAGGCTCAGGATTCTAAACTATCTTGGGTGGCTGTAAGGAAAGGAAATCAAAACCCGTGAAGGATCCATGCTTGAAACCAACATTGAGGGTCACATGACCCAAGAAGGCACAGCTCCTGCTTCAGGAAGCTCATCACCTCACAGGAACTAGCCAACCAATAGTCAAGTGCTTCAAAATGACAGAATACACCACTGTCTTATTGATGGCACACAACACAAATGTCCATCATCGATATTTGGAGTAGGCCCAGCACAAGTAGGAGGGGACTAGGGCTGGTGTTAGATGCGTGTGACACAAGATGGGGGTGTAGATCAGGGGTGAAGTGCTTGCTCACATGCACAGGGCCTTGGGTTCCATCCCTAGCACTGCAGAAAGTGAGGAAAAGACTACAATAGAGCAGCTCAAAGGTAGGGGGCATTCTGGAGTGGGTAAGCAGTAGCAATAAAGTAGAGATAGGGAAGGGAGCAGAGCCTGTGCATGCAAGCCATGTCAGTGATGTTATTAGCTTTTGGGTGTTAATGATACAGTAGGCTTATACTGGGAAGGAGAGGCGTGGGCTGGGGGTGATGATGAGGAGTGAAAGACAGGTTTAGATTTAAAATTACAGAATACAAGCAGTAGCTATAGTCTCCAATTGTGGGATAATTTGATAAAAGCTGGTTTTTTGTTTGCTTTGGTACTGGGAATCGAACTCAGGACCTTCTGCTTGCCAGGCAGTGCTGTGCTCCTGAGCTGTATCCCTCACCCCAAAACTCTGTTAATAGCAGGAATACAACATGAATAAAAAAGGGGTGTTGTAGAAGAATAAAATATATTCTCAAATCAAAGTAGAGAGAAAGACGAGTAATGAAGACAGGAGGGGAAATCGGGTGGAGAAGCAAGGGCCAGACTCTTGGCTGGAAAGCCTATAAACAAGAAATGTGATTACCACTTTCTAGCACTACTCAGGGGACCAGACAGATCGTGGAGTCCAAGACAGACCCCAGAGCATGCTTAAAAAAATGTATGCTGGTGATGGGGAAGGGAATAGGGGTGAGAGAAAGTGAAAATGATCAAGATATGCTATATGAATGTGTCAATTCCCCCGAACCAATGTAATTATGATGTGCTATGATAATTAAAAAAAAAAAAAAATTGGGACGGGGAAGCATATTGAAACTGGGCATGGTGGTGCAGGCCTATAATACCAGCACTCTGGGCAGGAACTTCCTGAGGCAGGAAGATTCCAACTCAGGCAACTCAGTGACTTACCAAGACCCTCAAAACAAAAAAATACAAAGGGCTGGCAATATAGTTCAATGCAAAGGCTCTGGATTAAGAATCTAATTTGGGGTTAGGGAGGGGGAACATAGTCATTCCTAAGAAAAACTTGCTTAGCCATCCCCAAACTAAAGAAAAAAAAAGGGGGGGGGAATTACTGGACTGGAGGTTTTGCAACCTCCCCCACCCAAAGCCCAAAATACCAACCGCCCCCCAAAAAGGCAGTCTTAGCAGATATAAATACGTTGGGGAAGATAAACTCTGGGTATTTCTTTCACATGTTATATTGTCCAATGAGGAATTAGCACACTGAGGACAGAAAATGATCCTTTGTTCAGCTTTTGGCCAACTTAGAAGCAGTACCGCTCTTGTGCACGCTGCTATTTATGAATTTCATGAGCTTATTTCTGGCCTTGCTGTCAAACCCCAGAGCTGTCAGTAGGAAACCACAAGTAGATGGGGAAACCACAGGCTCCATGCTATGCCAGGGCACATACAAAGAATCAATGGATGACTTAAAATAAACTAACATTTGTTTTGACAGCACAGCTGTCTTGCATAACTACCAAGCCTACTTCCTATTGTGCCAAGACAGTTTGGGGTCTGCTTAATGTATGAGTTATTGACATGATGGGACACGATAGTACCCTGCCCCCAGAGAGGACAGATTAGAGCTTGTTGTGTCAGACCATACGAGGGGAGAATTTAATCCTTGGACTCTCTGAAAAATGAGTGTTTGGGGAGCTCTTAGTACACAAATGTGTGTTGTGCAGTAAATGGATTTTATGGAATTGGGAGATGAAGAACTACCACACTGTGGCACACCTCTAGCTGTAAGTCATGCAGTGCTTTCAATGGAGGTACTTTATAAAAGAACTACCTAATGTTCATCTCCTGCATTATCGACTTTAAAAAGTTCAAAGTCAGACGGGACAAAAAAATAAATAAATAAATAAAAATTAAAGAAAAAAGTGGAAATGGAAAGAAGCAGTCAATGCTCTAATTAGCTTCGTCTTCTTTTTTTCAATTGTACTTTTTCTTTTCTTAATTTCTTATACATTGCTCCAATTTTTTCTTCTTCCAATTTTATGTGTATATATCTGGTAATATGAATAGCTGGTTGTAAGACAATACCATGTATTACAACAAATACTGTGAAATTCATATTACTTTGTTAAGTAAAATTCTGTATGAGTTTTCAAAAATAAATAAATAAATAAATAAATAAATTTTTAAAAAAGTTCAAAGTCAGAATGTTTGGAATTAAGAAGGTTGACTGTCTTTATCAAGCATGGCTGCATGGACCTTATCATGAATTGGAAACCAGGGCCTGGGGTTCCTCTCCCTTGAGTTTTTATGAAGAAAGAGAAAACAGAAAATGTGCTTAGAGCTTTGGGCTCTAATGCAACAACATGAGCTATCATTGTTATTCACTTCCCACTTTGCGACTTGAATGTGGCATCAGTAAGGCACTGAGCACAGTCTCATCTGTCTCCCTGTGCCTACTGCCTGGTGTTCTCAGAGCCCAGCCTCTGGCCCTCCCAGGAAAGGAGGGGCTGTGGCATCCATCAGCTGTCCTTGGTTCCCAGCCCCTGCTACTTCATTCATCACATACAAGTCTCTGGACCTCTGCTTTTCCACTTCCCAGAGCAACACAGATACTAAAAGCACAGTTCCTGCCTTTGCAGTAGGATTCTTACACGGATTAAATAAAGGGCAAAAGTGCTTGTAAGGAAACACTCTCTCTTCCTCTTCCTCCTCCTCATCCCTCTTTTCCTGTCCTTTTCCTTCTCTTTCTGTACCTCCTCACCATCATCATTCTCTTCCACTGCACTTACCACAGCTGTCAAGTCATTACTTGACTACAACTTCCTGGAAGGCTGGGGTTGGGTTTTTCTCCATCTTTGTTTACCCTATGAACCGCAGAGCAAGGCCCAGTAATTCCTTTAAAATGAATACATAAGGGCTAGGATATAGCTCCGTGGTAGAGTAATTACCTAGCATGCACAAGGCCTAGCACTATTTATAAAAAAGGAATAAATAAATGAGTAAACATAGGGCTACAGATTTGGGAAAAGTCTTCTTATTATAGAGAAACATTTTGGGGGCCGGGGAGATGGCTCAGTAGAATAAGCGTTTTCCGGGCAAGCGCGAGGGCCTGAGTTCAATCCCCGGTTCCGCAAGAAAAAAAAGACAAAAAGAAACATTTTATTTCTATGAGTGTTAATCTAAAGTACTCAAACTTAATTATTTTCAAATTCTTGTAAGCATGTAGGATGATATTCTTATTCATCACTGCTGAAAAAGACACATACACATGCATGTGTGTGTGCGTACATGTATTTTTCCACATTTGTCAAGCTCGGGACACCAAGAGAGGGCTCAGTATAGACCGCACTTAAAATACACAGAGAATTTATTACCAGAAATAGCCAAGCAATAAGAAAATGTTCTTTTTGTCTTTTTTATTGTTCTTTGGGGTTATCTCTGACAGGTTAAGCCTCCCAGTTTTTTGTTAGTCAATAGCAGGGCTTAACAATGCCCTTTGAAAAAAGGATGCCAATACTGTTCTGTAAATATTTTAAAAATCAACAATCAAAATCTCAAAGCCTGGGATTTAAGGGGCTTTCGCAGATAACAAGGAGCTGGACTGGCTAGGGAACTCCAGCAAGGAAGAAAGATGGGAAAAGACCTTTTGCTGGGCCACTGGGTCCCCCAGCAGTAGCTGCAGCACAGACATATCCTACCTCCTTGTCGCTATATGAAATGTTTCGGATTTCATTCCACGGGAAGGAGATCTTGGGAGTCAGCCTGTTCTCAGGGTCATAGATGTGAAGTCCCAGAGCATCCACGCCAAGCAGCAGCTCTGTGCCCTTTTTATTCTGTGGAGTCATAAAAGAGTAGCTTCTGTCAGCTTTGGCTGGAGATTTTGTTCAACTTTCCAAAGAACCTGGCACACACTGTTATAGCTGACAAGTTCCAATGGGTCCAAACAGAAATTGCAGCTGTCTTGTGACCCAGGAGGGTTCTGGAAGCTTCCAGAATTGGGACAGGTTGAGGAAAACTGTACTGTTGATGTAACTTGTGTGTTACCTCCAAGGGTCACTGACGGCTTCTGTCACTGGATCAGTGGCTAAAAGAAGGGTAATCTAAGTACTATTACCTCTAATTAAACAACTAGTTTAAATAATGTCTCATAGACCTAGAGTCAAAACCTGTACGTTAGGGCCGGGGAGATGGCTCAGTGGAATAAGCA